ACGTAAAGTACTTGTAGTTCCATTATAGCCTGTCTGGCAATGCCATAGCCCTGTCAGCATGAATTTGTAATGTCTTGAGCTCTTATGAATGTGAAGCCCTTCCCCTTATCCTCCCTGTAATCTGATCCATTTCTAATTATGTAGCTCTTTGTCAGGGAGTGTTCCCTATCCAGTCAATCTTGCATGTAACGCAGGTTCCAGTTGGAGCTCTAGCCTGACCAAAAAAAAAAAAAGGCAGTTACCATCTCCCTGGTGCTTATGCTCTTAATTGCCACCTCTTTAACAGCACCAAATCAAAATCTCTCCACGTTTAGCTGTCTTTTGGAGGACGTACGTAATAAGGTTTTTATTTAGTAAACCAACCCTATGCATGGTTTCAGCACTAGCCAAACCTTACCAACTCCTAGTCTAGAAAAACAGGCACTTGGCACCCTTGTGATGTCATACAGAGAAGTCACAGGGCAGTACCTGAGGGTCTGTAGGTTGCACACTTTGGTACCAGATAACTTTTTTTTTCTTTATAAGAAAGACTGAGTACTCCACACTGCACAATAACTCCTCCCAGGGTTTTTAACTTTGTTTTATTTTCAAAACCAGGTCCAATGAGCTTTCTGAACAGCTGGTGTAGCTACAGAGAAACCAGCTTCCTTCAGAGAGCAGTGCTTTTGGCGGGGAGGAGGAAATCCCTTCATACTTGAACATTTTCTAATGCTTATTTATTGTATTCTGTGGTATGGCGTAAGTACAGAGAAGCCATCACCTCAGATGGCAGCTTTTTAAAAAAATTTTTTTTTTCCTCAACACCATGATTCCTTTAACAACATGTGTCCAGCATTCCCAGGTAGGCCAAGGTGTCCTACAGAAAAACCTTGGGTTAGACCTACAGGGGGTCTGGCTGGTGGTGTTAACAGAAGGGAGGGCAGAGCTGGTGCAGCTGGCCATGGAGAAAGCTGACTTGGCTGGTGTGGTACAGAGAAGCCAGCTTGTTTACATGCTTATTCCATGACTGCTTGCCCTAAGCAGAAAGTGCCTTTCAGGATCTATTTTTGGAGGTTTATTACGTATGTCTGGTTCTCAATTCCAACAGTTTAATGAAGATCTAAATAAAAATGCTAGGTTCTACCCTAACTGTGTTCATTATTTTTTTTAAGTGCTGTGGTTGTATGACTTTGAATATTATAATCAGCAATTTCAGAAAAATTTTCTCAATCCTCTTATCTCCTTATGGGTTTACATTATAGACTTAATAAGGCTACCCCTACATGAAGAATAGTCTTTTTTTTCTTTTTTTTGTTGGTCATAGGATTTGAACTCTGGGCCTGGGCACTGTCCCTCAGCTCTTCAGCTCAATGAGAGCATTCTACCACGAGCTACAGCGCCACTTCCAGTTTTCTGGTGGCTTTATTGGAAATAAGAGTGTCATAGTCTTTCCTGCCAGGGCTGGCTTTGAACAGTGATCCTCAGATCTCAGCCTCCTGAATAGCTAGGATTATAGACGTGAGCCACCAGCACCTAGCTAGAATAGGCTTTCTTTTAAAAAAAGCAAATTTAGAGGGGCTGGGGAGGTGGCTCAGTGGTAGAGTGCTTGCCTTGCATGCATGAGACCCTGGGTTGGATTCTTTGTAAGTACCACTTAAGCAGAAAAGGTCAGAAATGGTGCTGTGGCTCAAGTGGTAGAGCACTAGCCTTGAGCTTAAGAGCTGAGGGACAGCGCCCAGGCCCAAAGTTTAGGCGCCATGACCTGCCCCCCCCCCAAAAAAATTTAGACATAATATCCTATACTCCGAAACACCATGGATTTTTGGAATTACAGCAAATGAAACTGAAGGTATGTGGTACCATTTCTATGTCACATATAATCTGAAAAGTTTTTATTACATAAAGACAATTTCAAAAGGAATTAAAACATGAAATAACACCTTATGACAGCTTATATAGAAATAAACTTACATTGGCCTTGACCTAGGAACTAAAGAAAGAACTGAAGTCATTTGGCCTGTTTCTGGCGGTATGATGCCAAGTGGTATCAGGTAGCTCAACTTTTTGTGACTGTCTTGTTGAAGATTGAACTCAGGACCTTGTGATTTTTTTATTTTTTTGCTCAAGGTTAGCACTCTACCACTGAGCTGCTACTCCACTTCCAGCTTTTTTTTTTTTGGTCCAGTCGTGGGGCCTGAACTCTGGGCCTGGGCACTGTCCGTCAGCTCTTCAGCTCAAGGCTAGCGCTCTACCACTTGAGCCATAGTACCACTTCCGGCTTTTGTCTCTTTGCTTATGTGGTGCTGGGGAATCGAACCCAGGGCCTCATGCATGCAAGGCAAGCGCTCTACCACTGAGCCACCTTCCCAGCCCTCCACTTCCAGCTTTTTGATGGTTAACTGAAGATAATAGCCAAGGCTAGTTTCAAATCTTTGTCCTCAGACTGTAGCCTCCTGAATAGCCAGGATTGCAACCATGTTACCAGTGCCTTTGTTAACCTGCCTATGTTAGTTCTATGGAGGGTTACAAAAGGCTTTAAAATTTTTGTAATGAAAAGTTTGAAGGAATCTACAAATTAATGGGTAGCATATGCTTGTTGATGCAGGAGAATGTCAATTTGGGCTCCACAGAATAACCATGTTGGCCAAGCAATGGTAATAAGGATTGGGTGAATAAATCTTAAATTTAAGGTGAGGTTAAGTCTACTGTTTGCTAGTCTAGACCCCCTTTTCTTGGGAAAAGTTGGTGTGTAGGTGGAAGGTGGTTAGTATACTAACAAAGGAAAAGTCATGCACTCAGTGCTGCGTTCTAAACCCTAGTATAAAGAAAGGTGCCATGGGGCACCAGGTGGCTCAGGCCCGTAATCTTACTTGGGATGAAGCCAACCTGGCCAGACAAACCTAAAGACCCAACCTCCAAATAAGCAAACAGCCTTAAGTAAGGATGTATGTGGCCATGAGTGAAAAAAAAATGTGAGGATGCAAGGCCCTGAGTCAAACCTTAGTATCCAGCATGGAGTTCCCAAATGGAAGATGTGCTTCTGTTAGCTTGGAAGACTAAGGTGTATGCTTTTACCATAAAGCAGAAAGGCTTCAAAACCCATGTAATTCAGGGTACCCTATGTGGCATGGCCATCAATAGTCCACACAATACTTTGGATTAAGTTTTCTTAGTCCCAGCCTATACTAATAAACATGATCCTGTTACCATCTACCTCTGACTAGATCCCAGTATGAATGAAAACTAAAAGGATCCAAGTGGTAAAGATGGAAAAAGTATATATGGAAGGTTGATTCAGTGTTAGGTAAATGGAGCTAGGCACTGGTGGGTTACACCTACAATCCATGCTACTAAAGAGACTAAGATCTGAGGATTGTGGTTCTGAGCCCAGGCAGAAAAGTCCTCTAATCTCCATTTAACCAGCACAAAATGCTGGTTACAAAATGCTGATCACAAAAGCCAAGGCCTAGCCGGGCGCTGGTGGCTCATGCCTGTAATCCTAGCTACTCAGGAGGCTGAGATCTGAGGATCGTGGTTCAAAGCCAGCCCGGGCAGGAGAGACCGTGA